AACAGTAAAACTCAACTGTTCTTTAGTTATGCAAATGTAATAAAGAAACCTTGTTGAATGCTTCCCAGCAGGTACAAATGTGTGCTCAGGACTGCTGGCCCCGTACCATTGCTGTTTTTTTAACAAATGTTTGAGGGTTTTCTGAAATTGGAGCAGGACTAGAGCCAGCTCTTTGAATGTCAGGCCGTTGGCGCGTGCCAACCTTTTCTGCTAAACTTTTCTCTCCCCCCTCGTCCACCCTCGTCCATTTTTCCAACAGGGGGGATGGAGAGCCTCAATGCTATCATTCTTTGATTCTGTTTGAATCTGGCCGCGTGTGAGCAGGAAAAGGAGCCAAACGTGCTTCCTGAGTGGTCCGGGGGGAAACTCTGTAATAAGCAAGGGGTGGGCGGTTAAAAATAACTGGGCTATATAAGCATGGAGCAGGATCCCACTCACTCTCAAACTCTCACTGACTCTTGCTCTGTCAGGACGTCCCGTGCAGGTCCGGCACTACCTCTCACACTTACACACAGTTTTTCCATGGAAGTTTACGGAGTTTTTGTCACATAAGGTAGAGCTGATGTGTCCAAAATCCTCACCGCAGTGCCGGAACACTGACAGACCTGACACAGACGTGATGCATGCCAGTACACACTGATTGAACAGCTCAATAACAACTTGTATGTGACAACATGAGGTTTCATCATGGAGAATATGAGACACACATCTATATGACGAGCCATGTAACCCACCCTTTGTGCTGTCTTTTAGAAGCAAATACGTCAGAGTTCTGCAACATGTCCAAAAAGACTTTCCTGAGAGTTTGGACTAAAAAAGTGGGGATTTCCTTTTTCTTTCATAAATGCAGGGAGAGGATGAGGCAAAAGCATTACTGATTTTATTAATTTGGTACAAGACCTACACTTTTATATTTTTGCTTTGTATTGTTTCTTAATTTCTCGTAATGTATCATGTTTTTTGTGTATGAGTAGGACTTGGAAGTCTAGTTTGTAAATTAAGCTGACTTTGGCTCTTACAGATTTGACATCATATTACATCATGAAAAAGTCATAGACAATGAGCTTGGGTAAAAACAGTAGACGAATGCTTCAAATTCTCAACATTACTGTCACAGCTACTCGTGAGAAAGGTTTTGTCAGCGCATCAGATACACAGATTATTTGAAAGAATTAGTCTCGCTGTCAGTAAGACAAGTCTTAATGACTTGTTAACAACTTGACAACTTGTTGATAACTTGGTAACTTAACTGCACAGATAAGTCAGCACTACTACAGCAGTAGTATAAGCTGAACAATTGTGAAATGACAATGCGGGTTGCCCAATGTATTGTATTGTGTAAATGTCTATTTGCGGGAAAAGATTTTCCGAGCCTTCTGTGGAATTGTGTATGTCCATATTCACACACACACACACACACACATATTCACACACACATATTCACACACACACACACACACACACACACACACACACACACACACACACACACACACACACACACACACACACACACACACACACACACACACACACACACACGAGATGTGTAATTTACACGGGGGCGGCAGGTTAGGTCAAGAATCTGAGGAGGCAACTGAGTCCTTGCAGGCTCCAAGGTGTTTGTCCTATTTTTGACCTTCGACCTCTCTGTGGATGGGGCATCTAGAGGACAATATGCCTAAAGGGGGAAATGAAGCACCACTTCTTTATTAACTATTTACAAAGTTCTTTAACCAAGAGCTCCACTTAGAAATGTTTTATGTGGTGTAATGCAGTCAAAACATCGTCCCACCCATTGTATGAGGCCCTGATCGCTCTCCCAATTCTCCCAAATGAAATTCTCTCGCCTGGTACGTACACTTCTCCACAGGAAGTGACGGATCAGAATGAAATACAAACCTGTCTCCTAAACGTCATGCGAATTACTGGGCGCTCCCTTCAGGGAAACACCGTACTTGCCAACTGCAGCTTTTTTTTTGGCCTTTCTCATCCCTTTGATGCACACAGAGCAGAGCACACAGTGTGCAGTTTTACATGATTTCAGGCTACTTAAGTGCTAATTTTTCCAAATCTGTCTGGCTTACATTTAAATCCAGCAGGTGCAAAGTTGTCTACTAAGGTATATATAATCTCCCGTTAACCTGGTCTGGCAGCGTTATGACATGAGTATGTGCAAATAAAGAATACAAGTTTCTATTGTAGTGGGAGTTTTGGTCAGGATTTATCTTTGGTCGGTAATATTTTGAATAAAATGTGTTTAATATAGTAAACTAAAGTCTGATAAAGCGGATTTTGTTAGGGGAATTTCAAAATCAAGGTAACAGGAAAATGTCTATCTTCCTAAACTTAAATCCTGATTAAAGTGTAGTCTTTATATAGACCTCCTTCACAAACGTATCCTCTCCACATGTGAAAGTGTTTACAGCCTTTGAACTCTATTGCACCCATCCAGCACATGAACCGTTTGTAAAACCACAAATTGTCACTGTAACACTTTGTTTCTTGTACGGATTAAACAAAAGAGAAGTACCATGTTATTAAGTGAGCTTAAGAGGTGCAAGGAGTCCGATTTTGTTTCTTTTGGACAGAACCAAGTCTTGAAACGCCTGTTTCAAGACTTTAGGGTATGCTAAGAATTCCCTGGTCATAGTTTCATGTTGAACTCCAATCTTCTCATATAACTGGGCAAGAAAGAATATAAGATTTCCCAAATAACTACTCTTTAAGCCAACACTGAACCCTTTTATAAACAAAAAATATAATTTCCTTTGGACAAAGTATTTAAGATCATAAAAAGTTGATTATCACAGACATGCGATATACTGGTTATAATACTAAAGCACAATCATATGTCCACCACTAATGTTCAACAGATGAGACCCTCTACCCTTCAGACTTGTAAAGCAAATCCAAACGGTTTTCTGCAGGTAACTTATGAAATATGATTTATTGAAGTATTCAGCAGTGGATAAACTTTCCTGAAATTCAAACTTTGGAGCATTACAAAGCGTTAAAGGCAAGCTAGCTGAGTAAGAGGGGAAGTGAGAGTGCTCTGACTCTCACATAGAGCAGAAGAGGAGTGCTGCACAGATCCAAGGTCAGGGTCAGCGGTCAGGGGGTCAGAAATCAGGGCTTCAGCTCCACAGCCACTAGCAACACACTTCCTCTCCGGCCTTACTGAACTCCTGCCGTGTGACGCACTTTCCACTGAACACAGATCAGGGATCAGGATATGGAAAGCTCACAGCTGCACTGACTGAGTTTACTGGTGATAGTGAACATGACAGCTTGATGAGAGGTGATGTGTCCGTCATGTCAATCTGAGCTCAGTGGTTAAACAAACTGACTACTTATCACATAGTTCAGTACTGCACCTATTGCAGAAGGGTAGTGATTCATAGGAGTGCTGGATTAAATGATGACACATGGACTTACATACAGCTGTCGTCTTTGAAAGTAATTAAGTCGATTTATTCAAGAACTGTGCATCTGTTTTATAACACTTTATAATTCAGTTGCACTACATAATAGGTACATATTGTACATTTTAGACTATTTCCCACAATGAATATTAAGATTAAAAAAATTAAGTACACTAAACTGAATACAAGTCTAAACGATATACTGTAAATGGCTGCTTACAGTTGACAGTAGCACTAATGTTAATAAAATAATAAAATATAAAAGTATATAAATTAAAATGCGGACAGAAAGGGCCCTTCATCATCATTATGACAGACCTACTGTTGCTTTATAATACTTACTTTTAATTGAGTATGTTTACACTGTAATACTTCAATTAAGTAAAGCACTTCGATTTTATGCATATCGGTTATGAAAGTGGTGTGCAAAAGGATGCAAGGATCATCTTAATATCTATTCTAAAAAAAAGTAAAGTTATAGGGTGAGCTATTTTACATCAAGAAACCTATGTTAACATTCATTTAAGAATCCACAATTGACATAAAGTGCGGAGTTACAGTTGGACTGATGACGTCTGGCGCAACAGGATTCCTGTCAGAAACCAGATCTCTCTGCAGAAACAGCTACAAGCAGTTCAGAGTTGTGATGTAAATGTGAACTCAATCGACACCGCAGCCTCCATTTACACCTGAATGGGACGTTACCTTAAATCATGTTTACATCAGGAGTGGTTAGAGCGTTTAAAAGCCGTGAAAACCGTTTCAGACGAACCTGGCGCCTGTTTGGACAAGCCTGCTGTGAGTGAGAGAACAAAACCATCTTCCATTAATGATAATGAGCCGAGAGGGAGCCGCGCCAAACAGGTGGAGGCAGCAGCCACACACACGTGACGGATAATATCAGTCACTGTACATACAGGCCATTTGAATAATTACACTTGATTGACAACCCTTTGAAGGAATTTCAGAATCGATGTTGGAGTTTGTCTCTTTTTTATGGAGAGAAACCAAAGAAAACATTTGTTTTGAGGCTAGAAATGAAATAAGTCACATCAAAGACTTAACCAAAAATAAATGGTCCTTCACAAAACATACATTTCGATGTTTTTGGACATATTTGTGTTTCAAGCGCTTTTAGAAGTCTGCCATAATCCCCAATTGCCTGTATTTTATTAAATATATACATATTGGTTCTGTCTTTTCTTCCAGGGTTTAAACTAACTACTCTGAATCTTATGTGTTATTACATGTTCATTAAATAACCCATACGATTGTTGTTGAGATGATTAAGTGAAGTCCTGACAGCCTTTATATTAAGTTGTTGGTGCGGCTTGGCCTCCAGCAGTTTCTGTCATTAAGCTTGTTCTTTTCAGCATATTACGTAAGTATCTATGGTTGCTATATTGCCCTTGTGTTTGTAATTTGCCTGCAACTTTTTTCCAACTCTAGGTGGGCGTTTCTAGTTTGTTGCGTCAGGCCGAGGGGGCGGGGTTCCGCTTTATAGGCTGCTCTGCTCTGCCTGCCTGTCATACAGCACACTGAGCCCCGCTGCCTGCAGGAGCCGCTTTATAAAGAGCTAAATTTACCAAACTTTACGTTGTTTCCTGAGCTCTCACAATTGGCCAGCCCTTGTCCGGTTAGAGAGTTATAAGGTTTGGAGAACCTCCTTCCACTTTTAAACTTGTTCATGCCTTTGGAGTGCAGCAGTGGAGAGCGACAGTGAAAGAGACGCAAAGGTTCTGGTGCGACTTTGACAAGAAATAGCTTTTATTTCACCAAACGATGGCCTTATCCGGAGTGATGCTACCGTCATTTTCAACATTCACAAACCAAAGAGAAAAAACCTATGAAAACGTAAGTTAGACATTTTCGTTTATTTTCATTCAAAAATCTTTGGAAACGGTTGACTTGGATCATGTCTCACTTTGTTTCACCTGTTTAGAAAAAAAAAATAGTATTATGTAAAGCTGTTGCAACGAATCTAGCCTATTTGCTTTGTGAAAACTAAACAAATAATAACTTAAAAACAATTACACAACTTAATTTAAGTAAAGAAAACTCGGTGTTTGTGTAACATGGCTAACTTTTCCAGTTGGATGTCACTTGTTATCTCCACATCCTATTTCTCATATCTAACAATGTCTATTTATTCTTTCAGAGGTGGAAAGGAGATATGGACAAACTAGTCTCCAACAGCAGCTGCTCCATGATGGAAATGGTACACAACCTGGACAATCACAGCAAAAGGGACGACGAGGATCTGAGTAACTACTTAGATCTGGATTTTATCCTCGCCAACACGACTGGCTCTGACAGCACGGCGGAATTTGTGGGCACAGCCGACCCCAGCATGTACACGGCGGGAATCACTGTGCCATCCTACCCGGGAGACGACCACCGCTCTCCGCCGCCGCCGTACGGCGCCAGCCTCATGACAGAGCTGCTCCGCTCCGAGGGAACCAGCAGCTATGACATTGCCCGCAACTCCTGCTTTCAGGGAAGATTTTATGTCAACACGGCACATTTTCCCCGCCAGGAAATCAAAGTTGAGCCCCCTATGGACGGTTACGGCCCCGTTTTAGGCATGGTGCCCCAAAGCTGCAAAATCAAGCAAGAAGGGAACGTTTCGTGCATGATGTCTTTTGAGCAGCCCAGAGTGGCCATCTCCCCACGAGCATCCAGCAACATGACCCCGCCTCTCAGCCCTGATGAGCAGGGAGCCTCAGACTGCCAGGCACAGCTGTGCCAGCCCATGAACTTCTCTCAGAAGTATCACACACAGGCGGCTTTCCCGCACCACCACCAGGCTCCACAGATGCAAATGACCTACCATGCTCCGCATACTGCCTTTGGCATGTACGATGAAGGGCTCAGCATGCAGCCAGGCGCGCAGAGGGTGATGCTCACACCGCCCTCCTCCCCCCTTGAGCTGCTGGAGTCAAAACCAAAGAGAGGGCGGCGCACATGGCCGAGGAAGCGCACAGCAACGCACACCTGCAGCTATGATGGATGCGGAAAAACCTACACCAAGAGCTCACATCTGAAGGCACATCTCAGAACTCATACTGGTAAGTTTGAGCCTCTATTCATCATGATAAAAAGCGTTACACCTGTGCGCAATTACGCATTGGCTTGCATTAGTTCCAAATCATGTTTACCCTTTCAACACAGACTAATAATCTCTCTTTTCTTTGTCCGCTCAGGTGAGAAGCCGTACCACTGCAGCTGGGAAGGTTGTGGGTGGAAATTCGCCCGCTCCGATGAGCTGACCCGTCATTTCCGCAAACACACCGGACACAGGCCCTTCCAGTGCCACCTGTGTGAGCGTGCCTTTTCCAGGTCTGACCACCTGGCACTTCACATGAAGAGACACATGTGAAGGAGGCCACACAATGTTATTTGTTGTTGTGATTCAACTGATGTATTTTTATTTAAATTGTTGTCCACATGACCAAAGTCTTTTTATATATAATATTGAATTAAAAAGTTTAGTTGTATTATTTTCTAATAACGTAGCTGGTACTACTTTGGTTCAATAAAAAAGCTTTAGAAAAGCTTTGTTTGCTTTAGAGCAGGAAGACCAAGAAGGGGCTGGCCCTGTATATATTACTCCTATTTGACAGAACTGGAACGCTGTGTTTGACACAAAAGTGCCTTTCTATGACTGTGCTACTGTAAAACTCTTAGTGACAGAACGACATGGCCACATTTAGTACATGTTCTTATTGACAGGGGTGAAATGCACATAGTTGCCTAACATGTGCAGGGACAATGTTTTATTTAAACTGCCTCTCAATGTCTGAATGGCCTGAACTGCTTTATTTTATTGCCTTTTCATATTTGGTGTCGATGTTGTCTCTATGTGAATATCTTGGATCCAGCCCCTCTGTTCACTATCAGGGCTTGATGTCCTGTGCATTATTTTTCACTTAAATTTGTATAAATATGTACATGGTTTTATACTGTAAAATGTATATTTATTGTAAATATTAAAAACAATGAAATTGAACACTTGACTGGGGACCTCTTCTCTTTCCATGAATGTCAAGTCATTGCATATCTTTTTCTCACATTGTGTTTAATGAACCACATCCACCCACTCAACAATAGCTTTCACATGCTGTGCTTACTACGACTTTAGTAGGCCTGCAGACCATCAGATCAGTAAGACTAAATAGGTTATACATGTTGCCATTGTATACCCACTTTAATTTTAAAACATGGGCACTTGATTTCCACTGTGATGTTTTGCAGCTGCAAGACAGAAGGGCAGCCGCTTGTGGGCTTAGCCTATAAATACAAACACTCCATTTCCATAATTACAGAGTGAGCCGGGAGCCGTCTGGACAGAGGGGCACACAGCAAACCCTCATCAGGGAGCCCTTAGACTCCCTTTCTGATGGGTAGAAATTATAGTAGCACATCAAAGGCCCTTAATACTACAATTACACAGAGTCACTGCACTACAGTTTCAAAGTATCTAAGTCTGTGCATATTATGTCTGCATGGTGTCAGGGAGCATTTGTTTCTCCCGCATCAAAGGCTGCATCGAGTAGATATATCAAAACCAGATGGCATTTTGAAAAAGTACATATTAAATGTTTTTCTTCAAATAATGTGGTTGGTTGGTGATTGACAAAGTAGTCTTTGTTTTATTATGACAATTCTAAAACTTCAAAAATAAATTAATAAAACCACACACTTCAAAAGCGGAATTTCGCAGTTGAAGAGTATCTTCAATTCGCCCACAACAATAAAATGTACAAACTGAATGTGACTTAAATGTGCTGATTTACTTACCTAGAATGTATCTTATTTAAAAAAAAGAGGAAGTACACATTGGGTCAAATATATCTGCAGTGGGAGATGCAAATGTATCACTCTCATTTCACTTTTTTTTGTTCCAATATCGATGCAAGATACAAACACTTGGTATAACTCTGTACAAAGCATCAGATAAAGAGCTAAAAATAGGGTAGACCATTGTCTTCCCTTCAAAACACGTGTTCGTAATGTTGAGCTATTTGTCCTACAGTGACATTCGATACATTTATTTTACAAAATACTTGTGAACCTTAATATAATTCAAAAGGAGATAATTACCGTGTTCCAGAAACTTAAAAAAAAAAAATCCCTTTTATTAAATTAAAAGTCATTTAAAGTTTAACAGAGAATTTTTTTTATATATAATCACAAACATACTGTGCAATGTTAGTTACAATGTTGATAAATAAGGCGATGCCATTCTGCATGTGTTCAGTAAGCTCTGGAATACAGTGCGTACATTATGTGCCAAATAAACCTGATTAGTGTAATATAATTAGAAGAATGCAATATTTTAAAGTCATTAAAACAATATGTCCTCCAACTGGATCATAAGAAATGAATGTAGAGGAAAAAAATCAATTTGTTGATTTGAGTGTTGAGAGAAAGGCAAACAAATTCAAAGCAGATGTTACTGTGTATCAGTGGTAGTGAGAATAATTAAAAAAGGGTTGAACTAAATGTAACCGCACCATTACAAACAATGTAGGTTTACACTACTTCCATTTTATAGAGGTTTTTAGTTGTATGGGAGTGCAAGTTATTTGGGCGTAACAACAAGGCAACCAATGATAAACCATCCCACAAGCACAAGCTGTCAACATTAGAGGGAGGGTGCATAGCTGCACAGGGACTGAACTGTGTTCATAGGGAAGGAAGACCTCGAGGATTATCATAAGCGTCTTAATAATTGTGAATGCAAGAGGCAACCGATGATATGGGGTTAAATCATATTGAACCAAGGCTTTCATTCTCTAACATCATATTTTGTTTCATCCCCGTTGACCGTTTAAATATTCAAAATGTTTATAACCCTATAAGTTTAAGGACACACTCGTAACATTTGAAATAAAAACCTAAAGCATGCCATTAATGATCTGATCACTAAGCTCCAGTCCTTTAAGACAGGAATGGTTTCTAAAGATGGACTGTTTCACGGCTTGCATATGAAACCATCAGCTAACAATATTTACAGCACATGAAGGAGTTTCTTTAAACATTTTTTTTTTTTCTTTTTAAATTGGACAAACTCAATCATAGACCAACAGATTAGTTGGCATATCTGGTTTGATTTGCATTTTCTTTTAAAGTAATTAAAGGATATATAAAACAGTTTGTACAGTGCATTTTAAAAAAGGACTTCATACACCAGATTCAATGCTTCTGTTTATAAATTAAACAGTAAAATACTCCTTTAAAAAGGTTATATTTTTTAACAGAAAGAATTTTGGATAAGGCCGTAGCACGATATGGAGTTAGATACAGTGGCCATCATGCTTGTTCGGGGCTGGGTAAAATCGCTATGTTCTTGCAGGTTGAAGTCGGGCTTAAATCAAGTGGCTCCCTTAATGTCCTTGATTATAGTTGCCTTGTAGTTTGGGAGCAATGAACCATAACTGGTCACTAAATGTGGAGTCGGTAGACAAGAGTCCAGTCATGGCTGCAAAAACACTCGTCTCCAACACAAATTGGTAACAGGGGCTGCGAGTCATGTGGGGCCAGTGTTGGTGCTGTTGTCATGCGGTCAGAGGACTGTAAGGCGGGAGAGAGGACAGAGAGACGTGGTGGAGGACGGCCGGTCAGGGCATGTCGGCCCGGCTCAGAGCGAGGGCCAGCTCCAGGTCCTGCTGCTCCTGCAGCCGCAGCCGCCGCAGCCTCTCCTGCTCCTCCCGCTCCTCACGCTCGCTCTCCCGCTTCACCCACTCCAGCTGCTGGCTCTCATTTCCAAACTAGAGCGGAGACACAAACATTAGTTATGGAAAAAAAACAGGCTGACGGAAATATCAACATAAAACAGGGCTAAGTCACTGGGCAAGATGTAACAATGAAGGCTGGATGCAAATTTGACATCAAGTGTTGCTAATTAGGCAGAACATCAACAAGCTTTTTCACACAACTCAAAGGATTTGAAATATAGCAGGAAGAGAAAAGCATCTGCAAAAAAATGTACTATTTCACTACAGAGAAAACGCAGAAAGCAACACTGAAAGCTTCCTACAGAATACACACTGACAAACTAGCGCCATAAATTAGTGTTTACATATTTCCCATACACATTCAGTGCCTTGGGGCCTTTACTAACAGCGTGCACATACATCAACATATTCAGATTTTGCCGTGCGCACAGGTTTTTCACATGCAAAGGATTGACCACCACGCCCTTGTACAGTCTTACCTTGACACATTCAGATCCTGGCAGGAAAACAAAAATTACAATACAGAGCTAAATATAAAAAACACAAATCCCTTTTACAACTCTCATGCTGGCAGGAGGGATACATTTAATTCATGTCATGTCAAATGATACAAACCCAACACAAAGCCTGCCATGCATCTTCGCCACACTGAGAGCACGCTCAGGGTATACAGGATGGCAAAGAAGCGGAAGCGGGTGGACAAAGACGCAGATTTACTCTGTTGTGCTCTGCTTCCAGGCATATCATGATTTGACAGCGAATACGCCTTTAACTTGTACTTCAAGACTTTAAACGTGCTACCTGACCAGGCAAGTTCACTGACTCGCTGACTAAAAGTGAATCAATCCTGACTTCCTGCCCGAGGCTGAAGCCAGAGACGTCAGCAAGCATACAAAAGCCCCCATAACCAGGCGGACGGACGCTACAATCCACTTGATATACACAAGTACAAGCACTGTCCAAGTCAGTCATGCAAACATTACATTTCCTTCTACACCAAGCCCTTAAAAAGCTTTTATATGATCTGTCAGTTGTTAGTCAAGTAAGCACGGAGGTCCTGCGACTGCTCGCTTGTGTGACTGTGTGTGAGAAAGTTAACAGAATAAGGCCCAGTGACAGAGAGCTGACACCTCTGAGCCTTCAGCAAACAGCATCTGAAGAGTGAGATCATGAGCAGCTCATGCAGACAAAGATGTTTGACCCCTCGGAGAACTGTAATTAGATTACACTCACAGAGCCAAATTCTGCAAAACCCACAGGACAGTCTTTGGATTCTTTACTCGAGTGTGTTGTAACAAAAAGGGTTTTTACTGGAGTGGCTCTGACGCTGTCAAACTGAGCAAACCTCCTGGAGAAGGAAGACATTCAAAAAGATAAATATGAAAGCTAGTGTAAAACCACACCCTTTAGTTACTTTATAAGCCAACAACAGGTAGCCCCTTGAGAATAAGCTCACGCTTTAATGTGTAACATTCTGATACTAAATGTTCACAGGAAGCCAACCTTTAGCTCATGGTATGCATAGTAGTCACCCAGTGAGATATTGGTTCAAAAAATGTGTTAACCACATTTTTGAATAAAGCTCACTGATGCATTGATGCTTAACCAGCGGTGTGGCTTTTCTGGAACACATAATGGTTAAAGACGGACACACCCATGTACAATGTAAGCTTTGAATACATTTCCTATAATGACAGCTTTGTAATGAGGCTTTAAATATTCATCTCCCACATATTGTTAACCAAGAGCTGCATGAAGGGATTGAATGGCTTTAAGTTAATAAAAGCCCCACTGTCTAATTAAGAACAACAGTAGAAGTGCTAGCTTTAAATAAGCAAACTAAACATGGGCTTTTCACTTCCCCATAACATATGAGGCACATCTCAGGGCTAGCTCCCTGGCTAACCATGGCTTCTCATCTCTACCACTCCGCGTGTGGTAAAGCAAAGCGGAACATCAACTTTCTCACGCTGTGGCTTCTGCTAAAGGAATAAGTGCAAGGTCACAGCGGAAGGGCATGGGCTGGGCATGGTCTGTGGGCAACGTGTGACTATTCATACTAGTGAAACAGCAAGATAAAACATGAGGCTAAATGCATTCATAGGGCCATAGAAAAGTAGCTCTCAATCTCATCACACTATTTATAACTTTAACTGAAGACTGTTTTATCTGTTGGCGTCTTAATAACGCTAACAAGGGCACATCAGTGTGTAAAACCACAGTGCTGCCATACCTCTGCAACAGCTTTCCTGTTTACAACTTCAAAAGAAGAAACTGCTTTCTCTGCACCCTCACAGTTCAACAGGGAAGTTGTTTTTTTCCGCATACCATCAGGGGCACAAACATTTCTTTTTAGTAGGACAAGTCAATCATAATGAGCACTACAAAAAGGGATGCCAAAAAACAATGGCAACATAAACTGTATTGCTGTCACCTGGTTTAAACCAACATTGCATGCTAACTATGAATGTCAGTCAACCTTTTAATGTCAACGAGGCTGCAAGCACAGTCATGCTCAAGTGCACACACACACAAAATAGGGGCTTACCATAGGGAGGTGCAGGCCGGTTAGGCACATTTTTCTTTGATGGGAGGACAGGGTTGTCCGACTTCTGTTCACACACAGGGGAAAAGAAACCAAAAGAAATGTCTTTAACTATCACACAAACTGATGACTCCAACAGAAATGTCAGTAACTCTAAAGCAACTGGCATTACACCAGAGAGGCGTTAAAGGTGATAAATGGCAGATTGGAGTAAAATTACAAACACAGCGGGAAATTGAATTTTTTCAACTGATTCATAACTCCAAGACTTTCCAGAGCTTACCTTTGACATTTGACTAAAGTCGGCAAATCCACTCCCCTTGCTTCCAAAAGAGTTGCCTCCAAAGGGGTCTGCAGTCCCAAAAACATCTGAGAGAAAAAGACATTGTAATGCATTTTTGAACCTTTCAATACGTTTATGGAAAAAGCCAGAAGCTATAATAAAGCTCAGCCTCAAACCACGCTTATAAAAACCATCTATGCATTGTGTTTATTCTGAAAAGGCTTGCGTGCTATTTTCAGAGCGTGGAATGTGGCATTACGGTTTAATTTTCCATGACATTTCGTAAAAAAAACCTGGAAAGCAGAGGTTTTTGTTTAACCTGACGTATGTATGTGATCAACTAATTAAAGGCGTCAGTTGGCGTACTGTTAACCAGAACTGTGCCGGGTTGTTTGGAGGCTCAGTGGTATGCCACTTAATGAAAAAAAAAGAAGCCAACTGCAGATGGTTACAGTGAAAAAACAAAACATTGTAACAGAATATGTTTGTTGTGAGTATGCGACCACAAGAGACCCCATTCATCGGAAGAACGCAGTGTTTTCTTTTACGCACAGTAACTCACGTCAGACCTACAGTTGCCTCTGTGTTCCTCTGAAGGTGTGTATCACGGCAGAGCATCGACCAGAGGCAGCCACTAACTTAAAACAACTTCCGTAGCGAATGAGGCAGAGCAGCTGAATAGCAGCAGATATAAAGACAGGGCAGAGGCAGTAGAGAACTGGTTAAAGGAGTGGCAGTGTATTCTTGTAGAGCAGGACCTCCAGTCCTCACAACGTTTCTGTTATGTTTGGCTCCTGCAGGCCTCCTGTTTTTCCAGGGTAGGGGGGAGTATTTTTAGTTGGCCAGTAGTTAAATGCGTAGGTACTTTGCTAAAAATAGCCCAAAACCACAGGAAAAATTGAAGCCACAGTGAATACAAAATTGTTTGCCCCCTCATGCCCTCAAAAATAAAATCTAAATCTAACACGTCAACCAGAATGGCAAAGAATGACTCTTTGAGACCCGTTTCACAACAAGAACCCTCTTTCACATTCACATGGCGGTTAATAGACTCATTCTGGACGGAAAGTCTGCATGTGTATAGTACAGAGATGATTGTGCTTTATTTGACAGAGAGACAAAAAGCCAACGTACTGTATGCTCTACTGCAGGGCCATCACCTTCCTGACTGCAGTAATTACAATAAAATAGAGGAAAATATACAACCTACTGTACATCTTTAAAATGACTGAGAACAGGAAATAAAGCATTGAATCTTTGTCAACTTGTTTGATTCTGTACGCAAAGTTTGACTACAATATTTAAAACTGGAAGAACAATTAAATCTAAACTGAGAAACGTTGTGGTGACATAAAGCCAAGAAGTCCAGAAACAACAACATGTCCTGGCACAAACACGCTGCTACCTCAGGTTACCCTTTACATTTACAACTGAGAAGCCCCAGAGTAAAGTCTCTCTCTGATGTCTTAGACCAACATACCTGGTTTTGGGCTGTTTGATGTAAAGGAGTCACTGCTGAGGGCGCTTGGCTGAGAAAAAACAACAAAAAGCAAAAAGGTAAAGTAAGTTTTCCAAAGTTCTCGAATACAATACACACAAAATGGCCATATAATCATAACCACCAAAAATAACCCTCTGTAGTGCTGGTTTGCATTTCCAGTTATCTACAACAGTGAAGTCAAATTAAAAATAGAAAAGGAATTGTAATATTAAAGTTGTTTACAGTGCATACAGAAGACCCATGATCAGAAGCTTCAATCAACATCATGACAGTGTTTTTAAAGAGGTGTTTGATACCTTGGCTGGCGGGGTGGGTTTTCTACTGAAGGAGTCCGAGGATCCAAACAAGTTTGACTTTTCTGTTCTCTTGAAAAAATCTTCAGATGAGGTGCCTTTGAAGGGGTCGCTTTCTTTGAAAGGATCTGCTCCAAATGGATCTAGAAGAAAAGACAAGGCGGTGAGAACATAGCCACTGGCTTTGGACTTCAGTCATCTTCACCCTCTAAAGAATAAATAATCAGAGCTTTCTTTGAAAGTTTTCCACAGCATGAATTAAAGCAGACGGGAACAATATACAACCAATGTTTCCATTTCATTCAAACTCCATCATTTGGCATGTATAATGTATGTAGATGATGTGGAAATGCTTATTTAACAAGGGACACATACATTCAGGTGAACAGCTGGCAGAGTAGGGAATAGCCTTTACCCTAACAGAAAAACAGGAGTGAAAACGTAAGAGAAACAAGAAGGTATTCAGACCTTGGAAGGGGTCGGACTTGAAGGGGTCCTCTGTTTTGAAGGGGTCTGCTGGAGGCTCCTTAGCAGTGCTGTTGTTGAACATGGCTATCCTTGACTTTAAAGAGCCCTCCTGATAAATGTATTTAAAAAAAGAACGTTACAGCAGAATGGTAATGTATGGCACAAAGCAAGGACATAAAGCAGCTAAACACTTCTGGAATACAAAACTGGTTAACAAAAAAGGTTTCAGCGTATTTGCGTCCTCTGGCATCGAAGTACCCATGAATCAGGCCAGTACGATTTGGTGATATGAAAAGTGCACCTCATTAGAAGGAAAGGCAAATGAAGTATCCGAGTTCTAGGCTGAATTATAATTCTATGAATTATTGTTCTTAAAAGTAAGACTCACCGCACTTCTGAAACCTCCATTCTCCTTCTCAGCGAAGCCTTCACTTAAGTCCGGCAGGTTGTTAAAGTTTCCTCCGTTGATGTCGCTCAGAGCACTGTTGTACTGCTCAATGGTCTTAGTCACCTCATTCTGGTTGTCCTGGATCAGCGACAGCTTACTGCGAGCCTGAAAACAAATAAAAGATCCATTTCTGATTTCATAAAACATAATTTTTTTTTCCCATTACAATCTCTTTTCAATGGGTTTAAGGGCTGCTGGTAGAAATAGATGGGCTTCTTTGATTTAAAAGACCCTTCTTTCAAAGTATTTTCAATGCAAAAGGAGAATTTATGCAGAAGCCCCGTCCATCATGGATTTCTATCTTCGCTTATAGTAAAAAACGAACACGCTCCTCTAGAGTCACGGTTTCCGCAGATCGAGGAATGCACCCGATTTTTAGCAAATTATGTGCGTGGGGGTTAGTGGTTACCAAGATCAAAACAAAATGCCAACCCAACAGTTTCACTTCAACTATGTGTGCCTCAGTGTATGACTTACACACTAGCACAATGTTCTAGAAGGTAGCAGTAAAGCTAATACAAACGTGAGATTTTGTATTTGATATAACCATCACAAGCGACTCAAAACACAAGTCTACATTTCACAGATGCGTAGACAGACAAACATCTCTACCCAGGGGGGATAACCAGAGCTTAGTTTGTTTTTTCAACTCAAACTATATTTATAATTTAAATACCGACTTGATCACAGAGCTTTCTGGCAACAACTGGCCTCTGTGAGCTGTAGTAGCTCCATCGGTACTGACCTGGTTGATCTCTTCCTGAGTTGTCTTGAGCGATTTAGTGATGCTGTCTAGTTGAACACGGCCAGAGAGCAGGCTCTGCTCCAGCATGGCCTCCTCATCCTGCAGCCGGCTCAGGTCCATCTTGGTGCGGCTCATCTCGTCCTCCTGGCTCCGGTGGTCGCTCTCCTGGGAGCGGATCTGGCTCTGCAGGGACGAGATCTGGAGGACGAAAGCAGAATAAAAAAAGACTGTTTTATTTGTAGCCTCATGCAGAGTGTGAAATAGCTGTATATCAGAACAGATCAAAGCAGCAATATTTTAAAGTTGGTTTTAAAATAAAAGTTGTGGCGCCTAACCTCCGAATATGCTGTTATTTCGTACTATTTCAAAACTTTTGATGTCTTTGATTAGTTGCAGCATTTTTCTTTAAGCAAACTTTGACCCAAACTGACAACACTGTTAGACACCTGATTGATCTCTGTCATCCAAAAATACTAAAACAATATCCACTTTTATCAGGTGATAAATGCATGTGTATTATGTCACCAGAAGCACAGTACCAAAATGCAATAGTATTACAGCATTAGATATATGAATGTTGCATGAATAAGTGTCCAACCATCTGGGTCTCGTCCTGGCACTTCTGCTTGACGTCGTTGAGCATCCCCTCCAGTTTGGAGCGCTGCTGGTCCATCTCCCCTAGACGCTCCTGCGCATCCTGCTTCTGAGAATCCAGTTCCTGCAGGCTGCTGCTCTCCCTGTCCAGTCCACTCTGCATGTCCTGACCGTCCGACCAACACAGAAACATACGCTCAGGTGTTTGCATGATACAGAGACTGATTATCAACTGACATTTAAAAACTTTAACAGACCATTTACAAATAGGCTCAGCCTTACCTGAACGTCACTATTTTGCTGTCTGATGGCTTCCTCATTCTCCCTGATCTCTTGCTCCAGGATGAATTTCTCTCTTTATGGGAATGACATTGAAAAAGGAAGACAATTAAGTAAAACAGTGTTATAACTTCCCATCAAAGCCTATTGTGGCGGAACACGATGCTTCAAATGAACTGTGTTAATTTGGAAGTGTGACAATTAAAAAAAAAATTTTTACACATGCATGACTGATGGGGTTTCCAACATAACACCATTAGTCAAATGCATGACAGTTACACTCCACTTTATGGTCACTCTACTTGGCACTATATTAATTATTCTGGTGTAGTAACTTGTTGTTGAGGGATTTGTAATGAAAAACAGCATTGTCTGCGATATCTGTTTAAACTATTTTAGCATAATTCATTCAAGATTCAAAGGTTTAATGTCATTTCATACACACACACATTCGATGTAGTATGTAATGAATGAAACACTTGGGTCATAGGTTCCTCAACAATGCAATTACAAGACAAAAAACTGCCATATTATATTCTATTTTATTTGTATTTACTGGCACCATGTTTCAGTTTGATTGTGGTACACTGTTGGAGGAGCCTGTGAGCTAAGATTGTAATTGTCATAACTACACTGTAGCTATGTACAAATGACAAGAAAAGTCTTGAATCTTGAATACCAGCCGTGATGCAGCCAGTCAGGATTCTCTCTATGGTGCACCTGATCTATGAACCTTTCGGCAATATGTAGACTCTTATACGAGTGCTATTATATGTGTAAGCATGTCATAATGTTTAAAAATACTGACGATTCTAGTGTTGTAGATACAGAAATTGTTAAGTATCTGGGTATAAATAAATGATTTGAGTCCTCTACTTTATGAAGGCTTCGATGCTCTGTTGCCCCAAAGAAAGGCTCTATGGTTAGATTAGTTTTTAATTCTCGCTTGGACTAAAAACAGTCTTAATAATATCCCCTGGTTAAATGAAGGTTCACATTATTTGATAAACAAAATACTTAATAGATTTAAAGAGTTTGAACCCGAACATCACCCAGCTATAACAGACCCTTCTGTTACAAGAGGATGAGAATCACAGCTATCCTCCTGCTACTCAGGGGCTCACCTCTGCAGCTGAGCTATTTCCTGGCTGAGGTCATCCAGCTCTTTGATGCCTGTCAGATCGACTGACCCTGTGGAGCTGTTGCTATCCTGAGGAGGGACACAGACAGAACGAGTGAGAGAGGGGAGGGAAAAGGAAAATGTAGTAAAAAAAGTACAATGAATGAAATGAGGTTAAGAGAAGGTGAGAACAAAGACAACAACGGCAGGTAGGGCAAAAAATGTATGTGGGGAAAAAAAAGGATAAGAGGTTCAAATAGGGGAAGAGGAAGAATGAGAGCAGAGAGGACATGGATGGTAAAGAGGGGGGAAGAGAGGATCTCCCTGCTGATGCGTCTAACAAAACAAAAGACACAGGAAGGAAATACAAACACCTTGCACAGCTACTTAGGGGTCAAGGGTTCCAGACAACACATGAATGAGGAGGAATGCAACAGACAAGAGGAAATATGTAACACAAAGGTGAAATCTGGCTTCAAAACGGTTCCAAATATAAACTTTGACAAATCAGGATCCCAAAATCCATTTCTTTGACAATCATTGGTCTAACTAACATTTCCAACACTTATACATTTTGCTCCCTATATAAGTATTTTTTAAGTTTCATATTCCACCTTTAAAAAGTACCTGTGAAATGTAATTGTGTAAAATATATATTTATTTTATGTAAAGATAGTACTTCTCTTAAAGTAAAAAAAAAAGTCTTTAAAGACCCCTGCCTAATTGATTTTACTCCATTAACTATCTTAATTTGTTCAAAACAAACGTGTGAGTATAACTTTGAGAAAAATATATTCTGGCACCAAATAGAAGAGAATATCTTGAGATGTTTTTTTTATTAAAAGCCTATCTAATCATTGGTTGGCCATAGCATGATGATCTATATTCTTTTGACTAGATACATTAATAAATAACTATACTTCAGTTGGACCTTAGTTGACACTGGTTGCTATAACAGACCATGGATGAATGTGCAGCAGGTGGCAGTGTTTGCATTTAGCAGAGTTGTTGTTGAATGTAGAATATACACATTAAGAGGACATTCACAGGAATGACAAGAAAGTAGCCAAGAGTAAACAAGAGCTTATAAGATGTTTTACCCTTTCTTGAAAAACAAGTGGGTAAACAAATACATAATACATGGAATATGTTCCTGTTTGCGAGAGTGTTTCAGACTGATACAGAAGATATGATAGAACCAAAGCGCCACCTTGTGAAACAAAGCGGAAGTACTCACTCTGCGCACATTAGCTAGTGCAGCAAGGTCAGGCCTCCCAGCTGACATTAGCCCTGCAAAGCTCTGGGTAGGGTAGAAGAGAGAGCAGAGAGCAAAAGCATAAACAACTGTTTTGCAAGGCAAGCCTGAAAAGCCAAGAGAAAAACCTCAGCATTTAAAATGCAGATGGTAGCAGGAAATCAGATTACTGAGGTAAAGATGCAAGAAGTAAAATACATAGCCTTGAAAGACAGAAGGATTTAAAATAGGGAATTTGAAATATGAAGCAGGGGTTGCAGTGGGTTTAATCAGGACTCACTGAAGCTGAAGCTGCAGTCCTTTCCGATGGGGGGATCATGTCTGTGGTTAGGGTGGAGGGGGGGTCAATGCCTTTAGTGACCTTCTGCTGGATCAGGTACATGGCCAGAGAGAACTGCTCCCGGTTCAGCTTCCCCGTCTGTTTGGTGTCAGCGAGTCCCCTGCAGGGAGGAGGCGAGGCTTCACTCAAAACACATGACACTGTATTCTTCGTGATAGATTAGACCCTGTAATTTGTATTATCAATTCCCCCTTAAAAAAGGTCAACATTCTCCAATGGCCAGTTTTACTGTGTTGGTAAAGAGCTCTTTTTTTTTTTTTTTAAATGTAGTTTTAAATTGTCCACCAGATGGTGCTATACGATAGAGGATTAAAGCAGGTGTTTGATACAGTGTGTCTTGAAACAAATGAATAAAACTTCTTCAAATAGTACTGTTTATAATTGTTGCTAATATTTCTTATACATAATTAGTGATCAAATATTTATTGGGATGCTCTTCTTTTGAGCTTCTATTTTGAGCATTGACCAATATTGAGACTAAATACTAAATTATTTTTAGAATACTAAACATAGCTGCTAAAAAAATCTATTTAAAAGAGACAGCTTAAGCCAGTCCTCCCATCTCAAAAGGATAGTATTTAAGAAATGTTTGTGAGTCATTTAAGTTTGTGGAAATATGGGAGTAGACAAAACATTTATAATTTCCTGAAACACCATTCTTTTGTTTTAATTGGATTTGCATTCTTAAAATGTGTTATTTTAAATGAAAAGTATCTAGCTAAAAATAGCAATGTCAACTACTGCTGTAATGTGATCTCAAAGGGGAACAACAAAATCTAAACCATTCTGTGGTCTCACCATATCTGTGCCAGCATGGTCTGGGTGAGACTGGACTGCATGAAGATCTCTATGACTTCAGTTCCATTAATGAGGCCGTCATTGTCGCCGTCAATTGTCTTGAAGATCTCATCATATCGCCCCCTGTCAGCCAACGGTACCACCCAGTTTACCTCTGGCTGGAATAAAAAAGACAGGAAACATTTATATGATTTTAGATGAGGGACACAACATCTGCTAAAACACAATCGGTTTTTTGGTGGACTGAATAAAATGTAGTATTATATATTACACTGGTTAAAAGCAAAACATTGCTAAAATGCCTCCCCTGATGAAAACATACTGGTGTCTTTATCAACCCTTCACCACAAATAGCAGGTGGATATATCACTAACCCATCAGAAATATAAAAAAAAGGTTCAAGCTACTGTAAATAAGTGAGCATATTTATTTTATTATTTAAATTAATTGTAATTTAATAGTTGTACACTTGTTGGTATTTAAATATTGATTGGTGCTCAGATATGTGTTTATAATTGCTAGTGTGATAGAGACTATGTAATGTTTTAAGTGTGTGCTACTTGTTATGTATGTGCCTGTCCAGTGACTGCAGATGAAAATTAGCTAATAGCTAAATCTGGCATAAAATCATTAATTGTTTTTCTTTATATATTTTAGTTTTAATGGTCATTGTTTAATAAAAACTGATAATGATATATATATATATATACACTCCGCACATGACATAAAATAACATAGTGAATAGAAATGGGAATAAGCACTGTGACTTCATGCCTTGGGTAAGATAAAAGAAAAAGAAAATCTGAAGCAATTAAGCCAACAAGGAAAAGGGAACAAAAATGAAAATGTCCACGACAGGAAAAAAAGAGGACATTAAAGCTACGACAGGTGAGCATGGTACAAGTTAGAACAGACTCTTGTTTCTATTCCCTTTGAAGGAAACCTGTTCAAAGGTCATGGGTGAAATATCCCTGCAGCTATAACAAGTTAGAGAGGAACACACTGGCCAGGGCACAATGCTCAAAGCAATGTGGAGAAACAAGTACAGCCATGAGCAACAGAAAACAATCAACACATGCAATGCTGGTTCCAAGGCTCTGCCCTTATTAGGGAGGAGCAATGAAATGATAAATATAAAACTAAATATATTGAAGTTTCCAAGAACATTTGAATGATTTGTTTTGTGTTTTTCACTTTATACTACTTGAATATAACTAGCAACATTGAAAAATGTAAGTTATAATATTATGTATCCAAGATAACCCGGACATACATGACATTGCATTGCATTTAGAGCAACAGATGAGTCACGCATTAAAATCAGTGAAACAGCTGAGTGACACTACCCAAACTACTCAAACACAACACCCTAGGAGTGTTACTACCTCACTCAAGATGTACAGAAACAGCTATAAAATCAGTGATGCAGCTTTTCTACTATATTTAAGTATTTTATGATGGAGAAATGAGGGCTAAGAACTAACTCTACATTAACATTTCTCAACTTTCAGTAGACTTATATGTGAACATTATATCACATCATGTTATTCACAAATCATGTAGTGTAAATACATAATTTGTAATCAATTATTGTAAATAGTTCAAACATGTTTTTTATTTGATAATAATTAATTGTGTTTGGATGTAATAGAAGAGTAGATCTTAAATATTCAGTAAATAATTGCACAGAACAATATTTGATTAGTTTAAATTAGGGCCGGGACTCGATTAAAAAAATTAATCTAATTAATTACAGGCTTTGTAATCTGAGACTGCCAAGGCACACNAAGCAGTTCTGAAGGAGCCTTCAGCAGCTCCACCAAACAGATTTCTCCTCAATAACTTCTGTTTGATCTGAATGGAAGAGCCCAATTCCAACCATTGCCCCTGTATTGGTACATTTCCATTGACTCAATCTGAATGTTTCTCCCACAACAGGTGTACAATGACACACAGACCTGGAGAGAGGAGACACTTGAGTCTGAGCATTCAGCAAAACAACAGGTAACATGTATGTGCTAAGATTGATTGATTTCTGCCATGTCATGTCTTCTCGTGTCACTGGCAGATCCTGAGAGGTGAAGTGTTTTACTCCCTGTGGGAATGACAGCTTAATCTGAACAACTCATACAGATCACTTTCCAAGGCTGTCTTTAAAGCAGCAAACAGATGGGATGTTTAAGTCTTTGTGGCACAAATGTTGTGCTTTCTCAAACATCTAAACAAACAGAAACCACAAGGGATATTTTTCTCTCCTTTTGATGTCTGTGAGAAAAATCAGGTGAAAGAAAAAAAAGAAAATCCCTGAAGTCTGAATCCTGTCTTGGCAAGATGTCGGTGAAGATTTTCTGTCTGCTGACCTCCAACAGGGTTTCAGTGACCAGTCTCACCCCTCACGCCCACCTGTTTCTGCGGCCTGCATAGAGTCAGGGTTGTTTAACTCTAATGGGACTCTGCTGCAGAGTTTAAACCGAGGGGCCCGATGGTTGCGGCCACAGGTTGGAGGAATGTCTACCGTCTGGACGGGAAAATGTAATCAGCTGAGATCAGCGAATTAGAGGCCGGTTTCTCTTTCTCAATTCGCGCTCTCACTTTCCCTGCATGTGCTTCTCACGCATGCAGGCGCTCTCTCACTATTTTCTCTCACTCACCGACACCAACACACACACATGCACTCTTTCAGATGAAGAAAAATGACACCTTTTTTCTCAGCTATTTCCTCTGTTTTTACATACTCGGGCCTGGGGTACAAGAGGCAACCTTGTGTTTTCATGTGACAAAACACACAGAGGTCTGTGTGGATTTGGGAGAGGTGAATAGCCTAATTCATCATTCGGGGTTAGGCCTGTCTGAGCTTCATCAGGGAATATCTCTATCTACACTTAAAAAGTGGGACTGTTGGCACTGTCTCTTGAGCTTAAAGAAACTACAACTCAGTCCTGTCCTCCGTTTGACTGATGACTTCTCTGGAGAATCCAAATTCCACAGTTAAAATGTGGTTTTACCCAAAATCTATAAGCCAACATTTTTCCCTCCTGTTTGACACAGGAAAACAACATTTTACCTAATCCTAGTTTTTTGGCTGCAATCACAAAAAAAAAGCAACAACAGTATGGTTGATTTTGATCGATATTGATCGATATTTTGATCGATATTTTTTTTAACATGGTTTCCCCATGTTAAAAAAAGATCGATCATAGCAGAGCGATACTTGTACAGAAAGTAATTCAGTTGGAGATTTGACCGTCTAGAATTTGTGACATACCTAATATAGCCCTGTAGGTATAGTCAAGGTCAGATCATTTAGGAGACGTACAAACAACGTATATATATATATATATACATATATATAATACCACACCATGTGCTTGTCCAGTGCTTTAAATTCAGAACTGCTTCACCAATTGAAAATCTGATCAGAGATTGTAGGCCAACCCTTTGAGAAAATCTGTAAAGATTTGAAATAAAACCAAACACTTTTTTAAATACAAGTGGATTTAGAAGTGTCCCTTGTAGCACATCAGATGTCTTTGAGTTGTTAAGGTTGCTAGAAGAGAACTACTTTGAACAGCATGTCAGATGTAAAAAGAGTTGTTGTGAATGGCCACACTTAAAGGCCACCTGATAATCATAGTGTTGCACTCAGGTATTCACTTGAAAAATGCAGCATTTTTCAAGTGAATACCTGAGTGCAACACTATGATTATCAGGTGGCCTTTAAGTGTGGCCATTCACAACAACTCTTTTTACATCTGACATGCTGTTNAAAATACATTTGTTTGTCTTATTTGAAGAATTATATGACCATAACTGTAATACTTAACATTTACACATAACAAGCTGCATGAGGGATTGTTTTGTCAAAAGCACTTATTTCCCCTATGGAGCAAATTGGTGTTTAGTGTCTTGCTGGAGAATATTTCAAACATTAATCTAACTATTAGTTAATTACCGACCCGTTAGCTAGCTCAAAACAAGAAAGAGAGATACTTTAAAAAGGCAGAGAACATCATTGTGATTCTGTAGATGCATGCAGATCATTGAAAAAATGTGAGGTTTCTTCTCCGACAAAGAAAACCATTTATGAATCCAGAGCTCATATTCAAACTTGTTTTTTTTGGTGGAAATGTTAGTGCACCTTTATACCTTCTGAATGTTCTAGCTACCAAATACTTGTTCCTTTGATAGATGTCTTTTTAGAAATGGCCTCATTGCTCACACTGTAATGTACCATGAAAAACAGCAAATACGATGTGGGCACAGAGGGTCCACCATGATACCATCAGACTTCCTGTGAACTTGGTCTGAGGACAGAGCTTCCTGTGGGCATTCTGACCTCCCAGGCCGTGTTTGCTCTGCAGAACAGCACGAACATGTTTTCACTGTGGATCCTGGGCTCATAAAACACACTAATTAGAGGGCATCCTTCAGCAGAGTGCAGCTATCAGTCAGTCATTTCATGTTTATGGCCATTTTTTTCTGTTGCTATAAAATCTTGTTGCTGAAGGAGAGTATAGCTGACCTAAGGAGCCAGGAGCAGAGATAAGATACCTATAATGTCTCCGTATCAGCACAGTTGTTAACGCTGTCTCCATCCGGCTGTAACCCTTGGACGCACCAATACATGGCTGTGACTCTCGCCCACGCATTTTTCTCAAGTGTGCACTTATGTAGAAGTATGTCTAGTACAATATCCCTACTTTGGCATTGTTTAGATCACGCACCGTCGATATGAAGAACTAAAGAAGTCCTGAGGGACATGCAAGATGCAAAATGTAAAGCCAAAGACGGACCGCTTTTCTGTTATCTTTCAGCAAAAATGCAGTTAGGAATCCCTTACAAAAGCTACATTCTGTAACCAAGACATGAGAAAACTGAGACTGCCAAGGCACACNCATGTCATGTCTTCCTCGTGTCACTGGCAGATCCTGAGAGGTGAAGTGTTTTACTCCCTGTGGGAATGACAGCTTAATCTGAACAACTCATACAGATCACTTTCCAAGGCTGTCTTTAAAGCAGCAAACAGATGGGATGTTTAAGTCTTTGTGGCACAAATGTTGTGCTTTCGGTCCTTTTGAGTGTTCTACTGTACTTTAATACCACACCATGTGCTTGTCCAGTGCTTTAAATTCAGAACTGCTTCACCAATTGGAAATCTGATCAGAGATTGTAGGCCAACCCTTTGAGAAAATCTGTAAATCAATCTACCAGTAATAACATGCTGAGGCTTGCCAACAACATTGTCTCTGACCCCAGCCTTGTCCTTAACAGTGAAAATGAATTGTTGCCATGAAATCGGAGATACAGAGTCCCGCAATTTAATAAAGATAGACTGAAGCACTCTTTGTGCACCACTCAATCTTTAAATTGAATGCGGACTCAATCCCAGGTCAGTTAGATGATAAAGAGTCTTGAATCTCAGTGATATTAATGTAATTTAAAAAGTCTGTTTCCTTATTCCCTGTCTTACACATGTGTCCTTGCTGATGGTCTGAAGGGAGCCGCGGTGACGCAAGAAAAGTTATTATAAAAATATGTTCACATTGTATCATATTGTATTGTATTACACTCATGCATCACAGTGTCTCAGCAGATGCATTATTTCTGATGATTAAACCTCCACAGTGGACGTTAAGGCTAACAGGTCGACCGCAGGCACGCTCATCTGCGCTGAAAGTCCTGCGCTGCTCGTCACGTACACTCACTCTCACACATTCTCACTCACTCTCGCACACATGTTGATAACCACACTTGTAATGTGAACCTTACTGCCAAGGAGAGCAGGCCCATAATTACAGAGCAATGGTGGGACAGCCATAATCACAAAGACTCAAATAGAAATCTGAATCAACAGATGATTCCAGATTGTTTCGCTGCCTCTGTTTACAAAACGCCATTTTGATTTACATTCAGAACTGGAAAACCTATTGTCCCTTGCACAAATGTTAACATTACTCTGATTGAGCCTTTAAGAAGCCTGTTAGCGGTGATATGCAATTGTGCTTTTGTGTTTTTGCTTTCACTCAGAAGCCACATCAAAGGTGTTTTTCTCAATCTTGCCAGTCAATAGAAAAGGCTGTTGGATTCTGCTCCTAACCTCTGACAGAGAAAAACAACGTTGATCTGAGCTATGAATCGCTCTCCTGTGTTCACCCGCTTACAACAGATGCCCCAGTGTGTTTCTGTCACACACACAAACACTACCTTTCCACTATTTCACCCCAGCTGGCGGAAACCGTTAAATGAGCAGAAACTATGACACCTCCGTGGTATGAAAATGAGATATAATGCCCATTTTCTTTCCATATAAGAGTATGTTATTCTGACTGGAGGTTTGGTCACCTGTTTACCGACTTGTTGATCATGCATGATCTGCACTGAACTTTGTAATGGCATTTTTTTTAATTGACACATTCTAAAATAAAGCCTGTAATTTCCTTTTTGCAATACAGCTGGTTTAGTGACTTTAATATGTTAAAAAACAAAACATACTATGCATTATCTTTGTGATTTGTCTACACTTATTCAAATACAACTTCTTTACCGGGGTCAATCAAAGTTCAGAAATATCAGTCATCCACTTATTTCATTTTTAATACACCCAAATCATGCGTCAGAGATAAATGTGTTTTGTCTTTAGGTATTAATCTACAACTCTTCTTCTGTTTTCTGCATCAAAACGTTGCCTTTTGTTACTGTAGCTTTAAAAAAACAACAGTTTGAAACACTGTCGTTGCTCAATAGCAATTGCCTAAGACACCCCATTCCTGGGAAATGAATGCGTGCCCTTGTTCCAAATTTAGTTTTTGCCCGCCACTATGGGCTGCTATTTGGTCTGCCATTTCTCAGGGTTGTGGGCTTATTTAATGAGCACTTTGATCCCACTCAGGTCTGGAGCTGGTGTTTACGCGACCCTGGAGGAAAAAAAAGGAAAGAACGAGGAATGAAAAAACATATCCCATTCTCTGCTAAAAACCTCTGAGCTGTAGAGTCCGGGGTAGCGGCCACATCAGGACCCCGAGGACCCAAACTCCATCCTTCCCCGAGTGACCATAGAAAACGGACGTAGTCCACGTTCAAGTCACAGCAGGGTCAGTTTTCTTTGAAAGGTACAACAACAGAACAAATGTAGACTAGTGTTAAAAAAGCCAACAACATAAACATTTCCCATCAACCTGTTAGATTCCCTTGGATTAGGAATTCAATGCGGATGTCACTGGCAGCTGTTTTACTTGGGTTCATTTGTAGAATGAAATACATGTGTTTTTCATTGGGATTTCCTTTTATCAGTCTCATAAATTTCATAACTTAACTACAACAGCTTCTTGGCTCTAAACACTTGATTTCCAGCAAGGCATGACATGGAGCAGCTGTGTTGAGACTGTCAAGTACTTTCTGCAAGTTGATTCATCTGTATACATTGCAAGCTGCATAATCTGTACAACTTTAATATAAGTAATTCAGTAGGGAATCTCAAACATTAACTATACCTTCAGTTGGGTTTGTGTTCCAGTTCCAGAGTTGTTCTCCACTTCTCTGTCGTCAATTAAAAACAGATGACTTACCAACAAGTGGCCAATAAATAAGATTTGTGAAGTGGATTACAGCCAACAGGTTTATCAGATATCAGAAATTGGGAAACTAGGAGGAATTTTGCAGGTTGTTGCTTAATTATGGTTCACAGATTGGCAAGAGAATGTTGAAGTTAAACAGATGTGGTGAGCGAGTGATATAATCCAGTTATTGTTTAAATCATGCATGCTTTTAGTAATAGTCATTGCTCTGTTATCAAAGTACATTCAAATCAAATCAAAATTAAAATGAAATGCAGTTGAATACACATGGATGTAAAATACTGATCACAGGGAAGAAAACATTTGATACACTCTGAGAAAGAGAATCATGTTAAACACTTAACTTTGATGACAATATTAGTTTAAAAAGCAGACCGGATTTTAACTCAGAAGGTCTTTATCGGGAACAGACATCTCAGTGTCAAGTGTAGTCAAGACAATTGATCTGGAACAATCTTACAGAAAAAATGTACACAAATAAAATCCCTTTACACCACCCAAAGATTTAATCTCTTGTTTAAAACTCAGATAAGTATGTGGGCTGTAATTATCAGTCAGGTGTGTTCATTTTATCTCTCTTAAGGCATTGGCAGGAATTGCCACATTCCACCAAATCAAATGAACTACCAGCCGTATGGGCAAAAAAAGGGCTTAAACCAGGAGTACTGAATGTTCTCTTGTCATTCATGGTTTGGCACATAATCCCATTTTGTCAGGTTGAAGATATCTGGCCCTGTTTCACTCGGTGGGAGCACCCAGAACCAAACCTGCCGACCTGCCCAGCCTTATTGTAACCTTACAAATACCTCAGCCGTCACATGTCACTGCTGTGTGTACGGCAGTTATTGTAGAACACTGAATACATATGCAGCAATGTATGTTTCTTCAAATTGGTTTATATCAGCTCGGAGAAGATGTGGCTGCTTTGTTCGCTGTAACCATTTAATCTTAAAATCCTGTTTGTAAAGGAAGACAGGATATGCAAAGCCTGAATAACTGCCAGGCTGACAGCAGGTGTGTGTGTGTGTGTGTGTGTGTGTGTGTGTGTGTGTGTGTGTGTGTGTGTGTGTGTGTGTGTGTGTGTGTTTGGATATTACAGAGGCATAGTCGTGTCAAAATTGCGCAGAAAGGTAGGCCGGACATTGGAACCCTGCGTGGTATGTACCGACACTGAGGCGGGTGCGTAAAAAGAGTTCACAGTGATACATCTTCTACAGGATCATGTTATAGGGGATGAAACCGGGTAACAAATCTAGTGCGTGTCAGCTATACTTCGTTGAGTTTCTTCAGGACTCCCTGTACGTTATACTTTTACCATTTGGATTCTGCCTGGCGAAAGACAATAGAAAGTCTTTTTACGTCAAATCCTTAGAATGTTTTCGATGTAAGACATTGGTTCTGTACTCTCTTTTTCTAGCCGACAGCGCCAGGGTAGGTAGTTCGTTAGTTACTCATACCTTCTACCCGTTTGTTGCAACCGACGCACTGAGTAATGGTGACTGTGTGCCGTAGGTCTTGTGCACCCTACCCCGTGTGTCGTCGTTCAGTCCGTTGACATTGTCGGACTGTCGGTAAATGTGGACTTTAATTAGGAGACTATCTAGCGTATGAAAAATTTTTGGTTTTAGGTGTAGATGTGGGTTGACACTCTTCATTTACCAAACAAAAGTAACGTGCACAGGGACAAACAGATAAAGTACCGGGAGGATCACACTACTTGGCCTAACCAGGTAGTCTCACATTGGACGCCTAGGACGAGGAGGTGGGCAGTGTACCCGGGTATATGAGAACTCTAATTGTCCAGATCACGTTTATAGTGTTGGGTGACACTCGTTGATTCAGTTTACGTTCAACAGAAGAACAGAGACGAGATTTAAAGTCAAGGGTTAAGTGTGAAAGGACATGTGAACATATATTCAGGACATAAGTGATCGATCTCATTCAAGAAAAACGTGTACTTGTGTGTCGTTGATTTCTACATTAAACAACTAAAAAGAAATTCAAAAGTACAAGTTTCTGGTTGTGTGTGTGGTTGTGTGTGTGTGTGTGTGTGTGTGTGTGTGTGTGTGGTGTGTGTGTGTGTGTTGTGTGTGTGTGTGTGTGTGTGTGTTGTGTGTGTGTGTGTGTGTGTGTGTTGTGTGTTGTGTGTGTGTTGGTGTGTGTNACAGTGAAAACATGTTCGTGCTGTTCTGCAGAGCAAACACGGCCTGGGAGGTCAGAATGCCCACAGGAAGCTCTGTCCTCAGACCAAGTTCACAGGAAGTCTGATGGTATCATGGTGGGACCCATCTGTGGCCACATTCCGTATTTGCCTGTTTTCCTATGGTAAACATTATCAGGTGTTGGAAGCAATGAGGCCATTTCTAAAAAGACATCTATCAAGGAAACAAGTATTTGGTAGGCTTAGACATTCAGAAGTATAAAGGTGCAAGCTAACATTTTCCACCAAAAAAAACAAGTTTTGAATGTGAGCCTCTGGATTCATATGCGCTTTCTTTGTTCGAGAAGAAACCTCACATTTTTCAATGATCATGCATGCATCTACAGACTCAAACAAAATGATGTTTCTCTGCGCTTTTTAAAGTATTCTCTTTCTTCGTTTTGAGCTAGCTAACGGGTTCGGTATTAACTAATAGTTATGATTAATGTTTTGAAATTTCTCCAGCAACGAGCCTAAACACAAATTTGCTGCCATAGGGGAAATAGTGGG